TGATGTCATCTACATCAGAGGTTTTTGAAGACTGCAGAACACTTAGGAAAGTCTCAAAACAGACACTTCTGTAGGACTCATCCAAGTATGGCTGTTCAGGCACGCTGAGATTAAAGCAGGAAGACACAAGTGGTTGGTTTACAATCCATCCCACAGACTCAGACCTAAGCCCTCTGCCAGGCTGAAGAGCACAGCCTCAGGTGGATGGTGGCTCTTTGAAAGGGAGCAGCTCTACCACTGTAAAGAACAGAAGGAAACCTTCTGCACAAAGAGCTAGTACAGTCATAGCGTGCCTTACACCTACACTGCTTCTGTGGCCTGCTTCTTGATTACAATGACTCTCCAAGCACAGCTTAACAAGATCTCATGCTTATAAATGCTTTTTAGGCAAAAACCAGCATTGAAAAGGGCTTAGAATGACTGTGGAATCAGCATCTTTACATGTGGAACAGAAAAAGGGAGTAACTGACAATCACTGTAAAAGCTTTTAACTGGCAATTTCTTATGCAAAATTAACCCAGAGAATCATTGCAGGGACCACAAAGAACTACACTTGTTTTCTTCCTTAAACTAATCTCTGTGTCATTGTATCTGGAAGACGGAGAGTTTACCATTTTATCCAAAGAGACCCTGGAGCACTGAAGTTCTACATCTCAAATTCATGCATATACCCCTTTTAGACTTAAATTTGCTGTTCCCAGCCCAGAGCAGAGCAGCCGTCCTTGCTGTCAGAGGTACATCTCCCAGGGCACCCACTCCCCCATCTGGAAGGCTCGCACGCACCTGAGACAGAGGTTTGCCATGCTGCGTACTGCTGCCCTCCGGAGTTCCACGTCGGGCTGAGCAGCATCGCTGAGCTGCACCAAGAGCCCAGCCTTGCCCAGCAAATCCGGGAGATGCTAAAACAAACCACCAGGAGCCGTTAGGAATCAGTGCTCTTCCCTCAGCCTCCTGCTTCTTCTGTTTGGTAGCTAAACATATCTATGCTACCAAAAAAAGAGCTGTCAGCTGCAGATCCAGATCCCACAGACAGATTATGTTTAGACAAAAATGACATGAAAATATAAATTTCCAAAGTTCTCCTATTTTGTATTGAAAATTACTGAGTGTGAGCACAGTTGAGGCTGAGTCCCAGTTTATGCTTTCTTCCCAGACACAAAGCTAAGTTAGTAACAACTGCTGTACCAAATTGCTGCAGTTATATAGGCTACAAACCCACGCAAGCTGGCAGCTCCAAAACTGCTACCATCACCTCCGTGTGCTTCAGCCCAGCAGCAGAAACTGCTCTGCACGCTGCCAAGAGCTGGTGACGGCAGGATTCAACATACCAAGCACCATCAGTCACACTGCAGCAACAAGGAGCTTCATGCAGACCTCAAGACTGATACCGGATAGGCTCCGCTTTGGAAAGGCTTTGAGCCCACTGATCTGGTTACTGGGTAAATTTCAGGCTCCTCAATGGAGCCTGCTGAGTAACGTGCAATTTGAAGCTCCCCGTGTTCTTCCTGCCCGGTACACAGGTATACCGGGGTGGTCAGACTGCAGCCTAAGCCTGGTGCACTTCTTCAACAGACTGCCTTTGGCTCAAGCCAGGTATGAGGTGGTCCCTATAGCTGCAGCCTGCAGATATAGAGGTATTTGGCATGGGAAGGATCTTGTTATATCCTTATTATTAGCATATACACCTACCACACCTGAAATCCAACTTCCATCAGTCACTATTTAAATGATACCTAATCTTAACATGAAGATAAGGCAATTTGAGAACATGATAGTTTTCTATTCTTTCTTTTAGGGAAAAAATAAATAAAAGTAGAAATGGGGTGCTTGCAAACTCACTTTCTGACATTTAGGTCCATTATTGTAGACAAGAGCTGCCAAGGCTTGCACAATTTCCACATGTGTCCAAGAGCTGCACTGTTTAAGAGCCGAGATGCAATAGGAGAGAAGGAAATTCAAGTTCTGTTCATCAACCAGCACCTGTTGGAACAGAGAAGGTCAAGAAAACACCATTATGTACTGCTGGAGCTAATATACTGTGTGTATTAACTAGTATATTAGTACATACTAATATACTCAGATACACTGGTTACAGACTTGGGTGATCTGGCTGTTAAAACTACAGAGCATCACAGAATCAGCCAACACAAACGGACAAACAGACAAACCAACACAAGTGTCCTGTAACCGGGATATTTTTGATGGTGTATCATGTTTGACAGAGCTGTTTTTACATGGGGAACCAAGCTAGAGCCACAGATCAGAACCTCAGCTAAGAGTAAATATGCAACACAGGGGAAAATCCAAGTAACTCTGCATGTAGGTTGGCTCCACAGCACTGTAAGAAGGCAGGAGGTCTCCCTGGGAGGCAGCACACAAGGAAAGGAGGGACAAGGCCAAACTTTCCATACCTGAAACCTGTTAAGTAAGTGATGGATAAGCTGACAGACTTTGCTGACAAGATGTTCCTGATCAAGGTGAACCAGCTGACAGGCTTGGACAAGCAGAGCACAGACATCCTGGAAAACAAAGCCTCAGTTTATTACTTAGGGACTACAAAGCCAGGGTGGAAACCACATCGTCACCTGAGGCTCTGCCTGCACAACCAGATCTGCGTGTGGGTACCACTGGCATCGATACACAGGAATAATGAAATGAATGAAACTCCAGATAGTGAGCTTCCCTTCCCCTCATTCACCACCAGACCTTCATCCCTGTGCAGGGGGATGCTGACACAGGACTCATATTGCAATAGTACTGCTCAAACAACACAGCTTAGGCACTGGAGTTAAATCCAAGCCGATAATAGTAGCAAAAGAAGTATCTAGAGTTAGATCAAGGCACGGAAGGGGCAGGGGGAGACCACTGTCCAAAGAAATAAATTCCAAAGTGCAAAGTAATCCTAGTCTGGAAATAAAATGAAGAAAAGCGGGTAAATCAGCAGTGCTTATGGAGCAGTAACGAAGAACAGTGTGCTCCAAACAAAGCAGTGTCAATACTGTGTACCTACAGCACTCAGCATTGAAGGGCTCACTTTAAACTTGACATGTTTTACCGTCTGAATACCAGACTATGATATCACTCAGTCCTTTGGCCGTTACTTACTCCTGCTGCCTACAGACCCATCACTGCGCGCTCACCAGCACCTCCCACCGTGCCCACCCTCCATCCCCACCACCGCTCCCCCCCACGCCGGCAGCAGAGCTCACAAGCGCCTGCGGAGGCAGGGGAGGGAACCCGGGTGGAGGCAGAGGGGGGCCACGGTCCTGGCTAAGGGGGGAGAGCGGAGGAGGCGCAGGAGAACCCCGCGATGGCCCCGCTCCCACCACGCGGTACCTGCGGGCTGGGCCCGGCCGCCGGCGCCGTGCCGCAGCTCTCGGAGATGAGCTGGTCGAAGAGCAGGTGGAGCTCGGTGCGGCGGCTGCTGTCGGGCCGCTCCGCGCCGGGCCCGGGCCGCAGGGCCCCGAGGCGAGCCAGGTACCGGCGGACGGAGCCGCCCAGCTCCGGCTCCGGCTCCTCGGCCACGGCCGCCGCCATCTTCCGCCTTCCCGCCGGCGGCGCTATGGCAACGCGGAGCACTTCCGGGGCGGGCGGGAGCAGCAGGAGGGGCCTAGGGGCCGGGTGTCACCTTCACTGCAGTGACACCATCAGAGCGGTGTCACCCTCACCGCATTGACACCATCAGAGCGGTGTCACCATCACCGCAGTGACACCATCAGAGCGGTGTCACCCTCACTGCATCATCACCCTTGTGGCTGTGTCACCTACACCGCAGTGACACCATCACGGCGGTGTCACCATCACTGCATCATCACCCTTGTGGCTGTGTCACCTACACCGCAGTGACACCATCAGAGCGGTGTCACCATCACTGCATCATCACCCTTGTGGCTGTGTCACCTACACCACAGTGACACCATCATGGCGGTGTCACCATCACGGCAGTGTCACCCTCACAGCATTGACACCATCACAGCGGTATCACCCTCACAGCATCATCACCCTTGTGGCTGTGTCACCTTCACCGCATTGACACCATCACGGCGGTGTCACCCTCACAGCATCGTCACCCTTGTGGCTGTGTCACCCTCACTGCATTGACACCATCACAGCGGTGTCACCCTCACAGCATCGTCACCCTTGTGGCTGTGTCACCCTCACTGCATTGACACCATCACAGCGGTGCCACCCTCACAGCACTGGCATCATCATAGCAACGTCACCCTCACAGCTGCACCACCATCATGGTAATGCCACCACCATGGCAATGTCACCCTCACAGCAGTGTTACCCTCATGGCCATTCCACTCTCATGTGGCGCTGAGCCCAGGAAGGAAAGGGAATTCACGATGATGGAGCAGCAGGACAAGCCCAGGCACCTGCCCCAGGCAGTGACTGCAGCTCTGGGCCTTGGGACTGGGTGCCATGGCCATGGGGAGCACCACAGCGGGTGGCACTGCCTGCCCACACCATGGCCACAACACCCAGAGCCATTGGGACTGTGGTTCAGTGCTCCCTGACTGGAGCAGGAGCCCTGAGAAGCCAAGCACCGTGTTCCCCAAGGAGCGGTTTTGGGGGGGCTGTGCAGGCTTTAACCATCGTGGACACTCAGTGTTTCTTTAAGAGCAACTGGAAGTGATGGATGTAACCTGGAATCAGCGCAGAGGAGGGCTGCTGAACCATCACAGGCTGTTCCCGTCGCGCACCCGTCGCCCTGGCCCAGATCTGTCTGTACCTGGCTGAGGCAGAGATGTAACAGATTTACAGCACTGGGGACGCAAGGGACTGGTCGTTGGGAAGAGAAACGTGCCCGCCTTACGGACGCTCCTCCAGATACGATCTGCACCTCACCTGGAATTCATTCCTTGCATCAGGTGAACAGCAGCCTCCCGCCACTTCCTTGTGAACAGGATCCCAGGAGAGAAGCCAAGGACTGAAAGGCCCCCGTTGATGAGGAAATGCACTTGATCGGGACCGAGCCAAGGCTGCTGCACGTGGACCAGCGCCAACACAGGGATCTGCATCAGCCAGGACGGAGCAGGAGAGCTGCAGGACCAGGGCATGGTGTCCTCTCCTTCCATGGCACAGGCAGGCAAAGCCAAGGTCTGGAACCTCACTCGAGAGGCTCTTACCCCTGGTTCACCTCACTTTACCTTCCCTTCATCTCCTTATCAGACTGAGCACCCCGAGTAGGGAAAGTACATGCTGTGCCACCAGCGCTGTGGCCTTGGCTTTCTTCTTTGCCCTGGGGCTGTCTGGTTCTAATTGCTGTGCTTCTTACCTTTACCATTCCATTTATTATTTGTTCCAACAGACCTCTGAGGCAGTCACAGCAAAACAAGTAGCAAAGAGACACCCTTAAGCGTGTTAATATTGTGCAAGGATGATTTTAGAGCGCTCTCTGCCATCTCAGCCCAGCCACTGCTCTGGGCAGCACAGCTGCTTCATAGCCTCTAAGTGCTGTGGGAGGCAGCATCTGGGGATGGACTCAGGCAGGGCTGCGTTGGGATTGAAGTCTGAAAGCCAGGAATGTCAGCGTTGCCTTCCCAACTTCTCTATTTGGCACAAAATTCCACCAAACCCACACTTTGGGGGGTGTTCCTTTTGTCACCGATTTATTTTGTGGTTTATTCTTTTTAGACCTTCTTAACACATATTCCTTTTTCCTTGTCCTGTTTTCAAAGCGGTGCTGCAATGTGTGTTCTGACAGCAGCTCCTGCTTTTGTGATGCCCTCAGAAATCCATGACTGAAAGCAGACTGACACTGCTCATGGGTTTAGAAACCAGCCCAGAGCTGGGTTTACAATCAGAGCCCAGATGCTGCAGGTCTAGGGAATTACTCCACTGCAGCTGGTGATGCTACACCAAGGTACATTTTATGTTTCCTCACCCTTCCAAACCCCCAGAGGAGAGCAAATGAGGTGGAGTATGAGGGAAAACAGCACAAATCCTCGACTGTTAAAACTCTGCTACTGTCATGCAAATACATCTGGTTCAGCAGCTCAGAAGCAGACTTCAAAGGACACAGAAGTCATTAGAATCACAGTTCAAAGAAGAAAAGTGAGCAGCTGGTCTGGGCCATCTGGTTGGGGACATAAAATGGGCTCTTTCTTCCCCAGTCAGTGTATGACATTCTCATTAATCGCAGGAGCATCTTAACATTAACCAAGATAATGCTGTTCAGAATGTAAGTCTTAATAAATCATCAAAACTGTTGTCTCAGCAAAGCTACAGTCCGGTCTGATCCTTCCTCCCAGCATGCCAGAATGGTGATTTTAAGTTGGTATTTTCAAAGCAAATTAGTGGGAATTGCATTCCTCAGGCTCCTTTGAAGGTCTCAGGGAGGAATGCGGTCAGGATTCCCCAGGCTGTGGAGGAATCACCTTCTCTATTGATTCCAGAAGCCACCTTTGGTTTAAAAACATACGGAGGAGGTGCCCTCACTTGGGCTGGTTCCATCCCACCAGTGGGATGGTGCTGGGATGGGGCTTAGGCCCAGGACACCCCCCAGCAGACATCTCAGCCAGGGCAAGTTCCAGCCCCAGTGGTGTGAACAGAAATCCCTGGTTTAGCTGCTCTGATCTCAAGGCCCTCAGGGGCTCCTGGAAGTTGATATCCCTGTTGAATACATGGATGACTTCCCTGAAATTCAGGCAGGTGGTTTGATAGTGCAGGGATGTGACAGCTGCCAGGGGGAAGCCAAACTGAACAGGAGCCACAATGGAGAGCTCAAGGGCATGGCAGATACCTGCTGATTTTGACAAAGTGATGATGACCTGGGAGCTGCTGCTGCTTCTCCTGCCTCCTCCTCGCCTTGCAGAGCTGTCAGCTCTGTCTCTTCCTGTAAAAGGCAAAATGGAGAGAGTTCATCTTCATATTATTGCTCTGGGAGCATACCTGGCCCAAAACCTGCACGGGAATTGGGGGTTTTCAGCCCCAGGCTTTCCCAGACACCACTGTTTCCATCAACCCTGCCTTTGCTGGTCTTTCCTTGGAAAAAGGGATGCTTGCAAATGTGTACATGCAGGTAATACACCCCTGGGACTGGGATTTACCTGCACCCTGCTACACATCTACCATTCCCCACAGGCATGTGCACATTCAGCTCCCCATACTTAGTGGGTGTCTCCCAGCCTTCCCGGCTGTTTTCCCAAGCTGTGGCCAGCTGAGAGGACAAACAGCACTGGCTCTGGGCTGGTTTGCCACTGAACAAGACACAGCTACTTGAAACCCTTCCCTAATCTCACTCTCTCCTGAAAACGACTGCTGGGTTATCAGGATGTTAGCGAGAGGCAGCAGCAGAGACTGGGACATGATTTGATAGTTGGGATAATTCCTCCCCCGTAATAAGGGCCATTGCAGCCAAGCCTGGTACAAGGACTTGGTTCCAAGATTTTGGGAACAATGCTACTGCCTTCATGCTCCTCTCCCGAGGGTTTATCCTCCCAGAGCTGGTGAAGCCGGGATGTTTCCATGTCTGCCTTGCCTGGGAGATGATGGGGACCCGGGGGACTGTGGTGAAGCCTGGCTGGTGTGAGCAGAGCCTGCAAACACCTCTACACAACACAGCACAGACTTGCTTTTGGAGTTTCCGACCTAAATCTGTTCTCATTAGACCTTGATGAATTAACACAGAAAAGCTACCTGCCTGGGTCCACGAGGGATGAAGGAGCAGAGGCTACCATCAGTGCCGCTGGGCTGGATCCCAGGAAGCTCTGTGAGGAGCGAGGAACACAGGACCCGAAATCACAGTGACCTGCTGGGAGTTGGAACCACCAGCAACCTGCCAGGGATACACACCAAACATGAGCTAATCCCAACAAAAATAGGAGTGAAATCACAATTCAGATGCATAATTCATGTGCATAATTTTATCTCCGCTGGATATTCCCCAGGGATGTATTCTAGAAAATGCTTGCTTTCCCCTCCCCTCATCCTTCCAAAAGTGCCGTAGATGCAAATCACTGGAGGCAGTGAGGGGTAGGAGCTCTGCTGGGTTACTAAATCAATGCTAAATTTGTCTGAGTTTCTAGCCCATGCCTTGGCAAGTTATGCAGATTGAAGCTGTTGTAGAGACATGCAGGCTTGGAATAATCACAGGATTTTAATTGCTTTCATTGTGAACCCCAGCTCCTGATTGTATCCGCATGGAAAACCAACAGTTTGCACTTGCAACTGCTAAAAATGTTAAACAATAATGGCAATTAAGAGATAATTATAGTTACTCGGAAGCCCGGGTTGGAGTTAGGGCTCCAAGAAGAGATCCCAGCCGACCAGGAAGCGTTGCCCTGTTTACTGCAGACCTCAAGCTGCTCGTTCTGTGATGTGAGATCTGCCAGATTTAATTGCTTAATGATTTTCTATAAAGCATTTAAGTCCCCGCTATCTTCAGCCAGCCCAGGCTCTGCCTGAACTGTACTCGTCAGTGCTGGAGGACAGTGGCAGTGTCAAAGCCCTGGCCCGGCACCCGATGCGTGCTGAGTCACCCAATGGGTTTCTCCTGCTAATTACAACACCGAAAAGGTCCTGGGACTCCTGGCCAGGGGGATGGCAGCACCCATGGGTGGGTCCCTGCTGAAGGAGGACACATGGGTGCTGTCCCTCCACAAACCATGATTTCAAATGGAGCCTTCACAATGTGTGCCCAGGTTGAGCCCATCCAAGCTGACCCAAAGGCCACAGAGGAGCAGACACTTTTGGCCCGGGCATTTGGAACCCTTAAGAGAAATAAGGACTTTTAGAAGTGGATTTGAGAGGTTTTGTCCTTGCCGAAGCATTTTGGGCTTCCCTCAAGAACAAAAAGGCATTTCTTTCTTTCCAGAGCCATGTTCCAGGCCGGGTGCCAGCTGCCTGCGTGCAGGCTGCAGCAGAGGCACGTCCCAGCTCCATGTCAGCCCTGGGTCCTTTCCTGCCAGAGCAGCCCCAGCACAACCACCAAGGAAACCCTGCGAGAAGGGCATGAGATTAAACCCCAAACCTGTAATCAAACCCTTGGTGCAAAGAGATCTGTGTAAGAAGGGATTTACATTCCTCTGACTCAGCTTCAGCAGCTAAAGCCTGGGTCACTCTGTGTGTACACCCTGGAGCTCATCCCTGCTGGCAAACCTTGGGGAAGTCCTTCCATCATGCCCGAGCAGCACCTCATGCTGCTCACCCCTCTGCTGCTCATGTTGGCTGGGGTAAGACATGGAAAAGCCCTTCCCAATGGCCTCAGTGCAGTGGGGCACCCACGCAGGGGGTGCTCAGGCCAACGTGGTGGTGGGAGCACACATCCAGCTCTGCAGATTCCAGCCCCATCAGTGTGTAGGACTCCGTGGCCAGGGCTGCAGGAACAAAGGGTGGCTTTCACCGCACTCACCCTGCACAGGGACTGCTGTGGTGAATTCCTCGGATGCTTTTATGGGCTGCGACCAATGCACAGGGAGAGCGCAGCTCCCAGCAATCTCCTCCCCCTGAAAGCACTCCATTCACACCCGGGATGGAAGGAGGTGAAAGAAAAGGCCATGCATGTGTTTAAATGCAGGGGGGCCTTACTGCATGGGGGGCTTGAATCTATCCCCAAAAGCCTCCCTGTCCAGCAGGCCAGGGCACAGGCAGGCAGGGTCTGGGCAAGCAGCTGAGCTGCAGACAGGCTGCTCCGCAAGGGCCATAAATCAATGGAGATGTGTAAGCAAGGGAAGGAACAAAGGACATGGAGAGGTGCCATGGCCGCTGGCAGCCATGCCAGAGCATGGCATCTGAGGAAAGCCTCTGACCAAGCCTGCATGGGATGAGAGCTGTGGTTGAGATGGGATGAGAGCTCTGGAAACTGGGTTCTCCACCAGGCCACAGCAAGCTCTGTGCATTTGATCTCAGTCCCCAGCACTGGGACAGAAGTGGACGGTGAGGCCACTACAGCAGCCTGTGCCCACAGGCAGAAGGAAACAAGCTACACCAGGGCTGGATAGAACTGCTCCTCCAGCTTAACCCAAGGCTACATCCCTCTGAGAGCAAAGCAGTGCCTGGGGTTGCCCCTGCTCAGGCTGGGCAGCTCCCTTCTTACCCCCTTGTTCTGGGTGCTGAGACCACTGGTGCTCAGTGCAGAAGCAGGGTGCCTGCCTCCTAACAGCAGGGCTGGTGGAAGCACTGACCTGACAATAAGCAGTTATTTGTCTCGTTGGTAATGAGTTATTACTCAGCCTCAGTGAGACATTGCCTTAAGGGAGGAAGCATCTGATCATCTTTTAATAAACACAGTTGACTCCTGCAGCTCCTGTATCTATAAAGCACTCAGAGACACATGGCTTATGCACAGACACTGCTGCTATGAGTCACAGTCTGGGAAAGGGTGTTGGAATCATTGCTCAATAAATAGAACAAAGCAGGGAAACCTCGAGTGGGCAGGGATGGCACAGCCCTGCTTCCTTCCCCGCGTGCCACCGGCCTCCTAAGGACTTACCCGATGGAGACTTGAAAGTGAGATAAAAATCATTTCCATGTCTTCTCTCTTCATCTCAAATCCCCCACAAAAGCACGGAGAGAAGGATCCATCCCCTGGGTACCGCGTTCAGCAGCAGCAGGCTCTGCTTCCGCGTGCTTGAGGCTGGATGGGAGGGAAGGAGAGCACTGACAGGCAGCCTGGGTGTTCCCACCGGAGCAGGGTGCAACGCCCGGCTCCTGTGCAGGACGCCCAGGGTGGGGAGGATGCTGCCATCACTTTCTCCCTTCCTGGAGTCCTAAGTAGTCATGGAGAAAGGGAAGAACATTGTGCCACAGGCGGAGCAAGGCTGGCTCTCCCTGCTAACACCTTCTCCTGGGGCGCTGCACCATGCTCCCTCCACAGAATGAATCCCAGATCATGGCTAGCAGTTACACACATGGAGCACAGCTACCCACAAACAGCCTGCCTGCTCTCCAGTGCCACAAAGGCCACATCTGGAGGAAACATTCCATGTGAGGAACTGAATAACTTGGCTTGTACAACAGAAAGTAACGGGACACTCTCTCTAACCGCAAACCACAGTTACCCACAGCAAACACACATGCACATCTGCAGGCACTGCCCCGCACCCAGACCCCCACCCACAGGCACGTCAGGCTCCCCTGCAAGCAGACATCTTCTGAACCTTGTAAAGCAAGGCAGTAACATGGACTGAGTTTACCCTTCAATGGCATGTTGCCCAAGCACATCTGGAAGCAGTTTCTTTCCCAGGATACATACCTTCCAGCCAGTGCCCCACGTCCAGATGTTTCCGAACACCTTCATGCCCCCGTTGAAACTGAGCAGCCATCCTGGGGATACCCTTGGCTCCTCCAGCACGGGAACAGTTAATGCTCATTGCAGGACACCTGCGCCTGGTGGAAACTGGAGACAGCGGAGCCCAGCAATGGAAAAAGCCAAAGCTAAAAGCTGTGTCCTGCAGCTGCTGGGGAGGCCGAGGGGCAGGCAGCAAGGACAGAGAGCCCCATGCTAACACCTCACATCACCCTCAGCCATTCAGAGGGAAGCTCTGCACACCTTGGGGCAGTCTGTGTCTTCCAGAGCCCCAGGGCTATGCAAGGGATGGATTAGGGGGGAAGGCTGAGTACACAGTGTCCACTGCAGGACTTAGGGCAGCTGAGCAGGGCTCGGTTTCACTGCCTAATTGCTAAGGGTGTGAGTTAGAGCTTCTCTTCCTGAGCCTGAAGCAGGACTCCCACTGCAGTGATGCACCCAAGGAAACACCAAACTCATTTTCTACTCACGTGTCAACTCTGTCCCTCGAGCCTGGGCAGGGCCTCCCCATCCCTCCAGAGCTGGATTTACAGCAGCACCACAGGCACTGGATTCATGGCTGGAAGGGGGCTTTCCCACAGGTGGAACTGGGGCTAGGAAAGTTCCTCACCTCAGGTTTGGATGAGCCCTCCTACGCTGCAGCTGCACTGGCTTTGATTAAGAGCCCTCTGCACCAAGGGGACCCAACCATCCCACAAGGCTACAGAAGCTTTCCTGGAGCTGCAGCATTAACCCAGACCTAACCAGGCCAGACCTGCTTAAACCCTGCAACTACACTTCCAGCTAAAAGGCTGACTGGGACTAGTGAGGAAGGAGCATCATTCCCAGCTTCCCCAAAGGAGAAACCACCTCTGCTTTTCAGCACTGCCAGGCGTAGGTTATAGCAGATTGCCTGTGTGTAACAGCCACACTGCTGCCTGCTCAGGAGTTTTGGGTTCATCTCATTATAGAGCTGCTTTGCATGAGTCATGGTTGTCTGCAGCTCAGCTTCCCCTCCTTTCTCATGCTGGTGTTACTGTCCCACAGCAGAGCTGTTACACTACAGTGCTTGGCAGGCGCCCACAGCGTTTCCAAAATATCAGGAGGCCACAACCCCACATTTAGGTTGCATCAGGAGCAAGACAGCAAGCGGAGGGGGTTGTTTAAGGCCAAGCCCACAGTCCCTGCAGTGCTGGAGGCATTAAATATACATCAGCTTCAGGCAACCGGCAAGAGTTTTAGATCTCACCTTTCTACTGAGCGCAGGGAGGAAGCCTGAAGGGGAATCCTGAAGGGGAAGCCTAATTCCTGCAAAGCAGAGAGACAGCTCAGAGTGTCCTGGAGCCAGGGCCCCAGCTGCTATAGCACCCCATTCGACTGGGATCATTAAGAGATTCAGCCCAGAACCTGCACATCCAGGTTACTGGGCACAGCAGCATCCCATCAGGGCTGCCTGCAGGAGTCATACTCCCCTCAGTCCCACTGTCTGGAGCAGGGCTGGAGGTCAGCACCAGCAAAGATTGGCCACATGCACTCCCCAGGTTGAGGTTCTCCCTCTGCAGACATGTGTCCTTTGGGTCATTAGCACCTTCAAGGGCAAGGAACTCACTGCTCACACTCTGTGGACAAGTGCTGGCTTTGCTTGGGACAGCCGGTAACGAAGAAGAAACTAGAGGCTGTTTAAATGTGTCAATTCACCTTTAATGTTTGAAAAAAAGAAAAAAAAATAAATGGTATTTGAGCCATTGCAGTTATGAAGGGAACAGATTTTGCTCCACGAGAGACCGTGAACAGATTCACATTAGACTCATGCTTGGAAAAAACCAAACCCAAAACATTCTCCTTTCAGATCCAGAGTGGAGTTCTGAATAGACAAAGACCACACGAGTGCCCCAGGCAGCCCAAGGCACATTACCCCAGTGCAGACATTTCCATCAACGTGAAGTTATGACAGCTACATTCGTTCTAGTTACAACATTGTTCTATCGATATTACAAAATTAGGCATACTTTGGATTTTGCACAGAGACAAGAAGGACTTTTACTTCAGGAAGTCATCAACCTGGGTCATCAAGTCTTTCCACAACAAAGAGTCCCTTCACTCTGTTGTTTCCCCCCCCCAGCAATGACTTATTACCAACACAAAGATCATCTCAGTAACACAACTTAGGTGCAACCAGCCTAGTGATATTGTCTATGCATTAGTTAACAAGCCAATAGACCTGATGACAAGCACCAGGCATTTACTTGCCATCACACAGCATTTCTCCACACCCAGATAAAAGAACTTCCTGCAGCATAATCCAAAAGTCAGTACATACTAAGACAACATCACTGCTGAACCTATTGGAGACCAAGACATTTGTCTGCCTTTGAAGCAGATGTCACATGAGTTTCCTTCACACAAACATCACATGTAAGTTTAACTTCTTGGTACTGTGCTTTAAGAACAAAAGCAGATATCAGAACATGGAGGACACTCCTCCAGAAATAGCTTATCAGCTACAGAAAATAAAGAAAGGAGACAGTGGCCACTTACAAGTCTTCCACATGACTAACTTGCTTTAAGGAGAGCATCGAGTTAAGGCAGTGTTGAGACAACTGGCTAAGAACATGCCAAATAGAGCTGTTGTCAGTAGTCACCAATTTGATATCCTACTCCATTGCGGGGACGGGCCATGTGGCTTTAGATCTCAGTATCAAGGTCTAAAGACTTCAGCCACAGGATGCCACTTTCTGCAGCAAGCAGCAGCTCAGGGGGATGGCTGTTGAAGTCTTCTAGACCAGGCTGAGTTGCTTACAAGTCTAGGTCAATGTTTCAGCAGCGCCAAAAATACAGTGATGGACACTGAAAGAGAACACCGAGGGTGCCAGCTGCAAGCCTGTTTATCACAGTCCGAGGTGGAGTTCAACTTGAGTGTGAAAGCCACGTAATCAAGAGCCCCACCAGCTTTCAGGGAAGGTCTAAGTACCTGCACTGAGGTTACTGGGAGAGCCAGCTCTCTACAGTCTGCAGGGTGGGTACAGAGGCTCACACTGGCTTTGCTCCTCTTTACAAGATTAACAGTCTAATAAAACTCGGTAAGGAAGTCAGGATCTTTTGGCCTGCCCAAAGAAGTTTTCCCAGCCTCAAAGAAGGAGTTACCACTGAGGGAGCTGTTGTGGAATAGTTTTATTTCTTCCCACGTAAAGGCCATTGTTTTAAGCATTTACAGGTTTCCTAGTGCAATACAACCAAAAAAAGCAGTAACAAAAAAATGCCGCCTTCTTCCCAGGCAACTAAACAGAAGTAGATTTTTACTGCAACATATACACATTAAATATAGTATACAGTCCATGCAGCGGCATAGCCATGTTAAAGGGAGTCGTGGCTTCAGCCATCAGTGCATTACAGTCCGAATTTCACTTGCTCCTACTTCCTATCCAGACTTGAAGAGAAGAATTGCAACCTGACCCAAGTAAAAATAGATGAAGTGCTTTGTCTCGTGTGTTACATAGCTGCCAAAGTTTCTGCCAACAATGCAGTGCCAAGTTGGGTTGTATTTCTTGTCAAATTCCTGAAGAAAGAGAAGAGAGGCATTAAGGCCAAGAAAGCCCACATGAAAATAGTTCTAAGCACAAATTCTTAGCTGGTTCTGTCCACTCACTATTGCCTCTCCTCCCACCTCCAGCATCTTTTGATTCCCCACTGCAAGACACTGTCATATTAAGCAACCAGACCTCTGCACTGGATAGTTCAAAGGATCAAACACAAGCAAATCAGCTTCTGAGACTTGAAGCACCCATCAGCCCTGGCAGAACCAGCAGACACAAGAGCTCTCCTTGGTGCAGCCTATTCAAGCCCTGTGTGTAGGCTTGCTCAGGGGAATATTTCTCCTCTCCCATTCCAAACCCACTCACAAAAAATAAGGTTCTGGCATGTCTGTTCCAGCAAAACATTTGAGCTTAAAGGTCACCTAAAATAAGGAAGGAGAAGTCTGGCTTTTACTGTTGGGGTCTCTTCACGTAAAGGAAAGATAATGTACACTGAAAGCAAGCAGGCAAATTCACAGGCCAGGCAGCACACAAAAAACTGAGAGGTCCGAGGTGAGCAAGCTGAATGCTGGCTTAATAGTCCTCTATTTAGCAGCTAAGATGGGGTTAAAGACCATTTTCTTCCCTCTAGTTAATACCCAACTTCCAAGAACACCCTTTCCTCCACCAAGACAGAGCCAAAAGAACAGACTAAACGTTCAAGATTAAAGCCAGTGTTAGTCCTCAGACAGCAGCAAGACAGTTTGAGCTCTTTGCAGGTAACCTTTAAAGTAAGGAAAAGGCTTTCTTGCCAGGGCATGAAGGGCCATCAAATTGCTTTCCTCCTCCCAACACACTCACAGGAAATAAAGGCCAGCTTCTTTTCAGATGCCTTTTTTGTGTCACTCACTTTACAGGCTGCATTGCCCCAAGCAGTTTGAGAGAAGTCTTGCCTCAAAGTGATCAGAGAGGTTAGGAGACACCTTTGAATCCTTTCTACTCAAGCTTAGATTACAAGCAAGGCTCAAAAGCCAGGTGCCAGGACTGCACTCTCTATGAAGTCACTTTCCTCCTTCAAAAACTCTTTGCCTGACCATTCAAAGAAGTGGCTAAAGAGAGGACTGACAGCTCCCCAGATGCCATCAAGCATGAGCTCCTGCACATGGGGAGACACCTCTTCCCAAGCCAGGGCAGCTGCCTGCATGTTTTTAAAGCAGCACCTTGCACAGTCCCACCAGCCAGCACAAGGCCCCATCCTCCCCCACACCACCCACCCCAGAGCCAGGAACACAGCAGGGAGAGCTGCACGTGCACAGCTGCCCACTTTGAGTGAATCAGTAATCCCACCCTGCACTGGTACTGCAAGTGAGGCAGCAGCATCTCCGGAGCAAGTCCTAAACAGAGACTGCAGCCAGCTCTTTCTAGGCTGGCAAATCTAGAGGGACAGCACTCAACATTGCTCAGAGCTTGCCAGAGCTCTGCCATAGCCCTCCTCTGACCTTGGAGGAGTCATTCCATCCTCTTGGGAACAGCAGTAAAAAAGCCAAGAAGAAAGCATCTTCTCCCTCCAAACACACACATATCAAACCTCAGA